GTCATGTGGCCTACCTCTCCATCATCTACCGAAGACTAATATATTGATTTTGGATAGACTGACCCTTTAATGAATTCAATGATTATACCTATCTGCCTAGTATATCTGTACTTAGTGTGGACAGCATACAGAAATGAGAAGATGTTGTTCTGGCTGCTCTGGTAATCTCCTATGTAGTTTAGAGTTTATTGGACATTACAGTATTGCAGACAGTCCATGTGCCGTCAAGTTTGCAATAAAAGGTTTGGGGAAAGTGAAATGTCTGAAGCTAAGCTGCTAGAGATGGATTTAAACAATGATTTGGCCTGGGACTGGGTGCAAATTGAAAATAACATCAATAAACAGAAACTCCACATGATAAATTGAGGTCATATAAGGCTTGTGTTGTGTATTGATTTCTGTACTGCAATGTGTCATATTTTTGTGAATTAAGCACAGCTGCATTATTACGTTACACCACCATTATCTCTGCATTTCATCTAATGTCTGCCGAGGAAATCCGAGTGAATAATATCTCTGCAGTTTTGTGAGCCACTACTTACATTCTGTTCCAGCTTTACACGCTTCAGCTAAAGGCAAAGTGTTTTTTCGATTGCTGTCTGTGACCCTGTTAGGGAGATTCGCTCTCTCTGATTATCTTGATCACCAGTGTAAGAAATGTTGAGTTGCCACTAGAACATGAATAGAGGGGAAATCTTCGAATGGGGACATTTATTCTGGTGACAGATTGGAAAGATATCCTCTCACTTCCTGTCAAGTCTACAGGACAGGAAGTGAAGCAAAATATCCTTAAAGGAGAACTATGAGGTGAGTGCTTTTCGCTCACCTCATAGTTCCAGCCGACCTGTGACAATGAGACTGTCACAGGTCGGCTCAGTAGATCGGGAGGTGAGCGAACACATACCGGGTTCGCTCACCTCTCGATCCTGTCACGGCTCTCTACCGTGACAGGGGAGGGGCTGGATTCCCCCCTCCTCGCTCCGATCCGCCAGCGCTGACTGGCGGAACGGACGGGGGAGGGGGCGGGGACAGCTGGCTCTGCCTCTAGATAAGCAGAGCCAGCTGTCAGTCATGCAGCTGGGCGGATCCCGGCACAGTTTTGACTTTAGATATACTGCTTTAGGCCAGGTTCACACCACTTTCCGGACCAGATCTGGAACGCGGTGCATTGCGTTTTGCCGTGTTTTTGCCACGTTTTTTTTAGGCTTAAAATTGGCTTTCAGGTGCGGTCCAGTGCTTTTGCAGCATTTGTGATGCGTTCTAGTTTGGTCTGGTCCAGAACGGACCGTGCTGGTGTACCTAGAAAATACTGCAAATACCGCCTGTTGCGGTACAATTGAAAAAATAGTGTATGATTGGTTGCCATAGGCAACTGCTCCTGATTTTTTTGATAAATTCCACTCATTCCACCTTGAAGAATAACTTAAAGTGTCACTAAACTCAGGAGTTAAATCTTAAAAATGCATTCAACTACATTAACTAGTAACAAAAATGTATCTTGTTTGTGTATTACTGGGCTGTAGATCCTCAAATCATCTCTGGATTGGTGTTGACACATCCCTTCCTTCTGGAGGGTGACTACGTTTGTTCCCCATGGTCCCTGTGTGTTGTAAAGTAGTCACCGCTCCAAGTTCACTCCTGTGATGGACTACAATCTCAATACAAATTAGTAAACTGAACATGAGATTGTAGTCCATCACGTCACAGGAGTGAGCTTGAAGTGGTGACTACTTTACAACACACACAGGGACCATGGAGAACAGAGATAGCAAGTAAGCCAGCCCAAAGATGTTCCTATCTGAGGCTTACTTAGTTTATAATGAACAGGATATGTCTCGAATAGGTACTTGATTGAAGTGGCCTACTTTAGTTCTTTAAAATTTAAAAGAATGCAGAGCCATGGGCTGGGACTTTCGTCGATCGACAGAACAGGTTTTCGTTTGCACATGTGCAGTGTTCATGTTGGGATTTTTTTGCGTATGAAAACGCCTCTAATCCATCGATTTTCATACGATTCGAAAAAAAGTTTTCTTGTCTGCCCGATAGTCGAACTTCAGCCAGTTGTACATTCATTCTGATCGTTGACTTCCCATCAACTGGCCATTTATCATACGAAAAACGGATCGCATTCGTTTTTCGATGTATGGGCACCTTAAGGCTAAATAAAAGTGGGTTTCTTTCTGTGTATCATCTATAATTATGTATATACACAGGGGCCATCCATCATGAGTGCTGCACAGTGTCTTCCTACTTCAGTGCAAGTCTGTCACTCAGTACTTCAGTGGAAGTCATGTACTCAGATTTACTGAAAACCGGGCTAGGCTGATAGGTATGTACAAGGGATACATGCCTAGGGTGCATTAGGGAAGGAAGGTGCAATTGGGGTCAGTTCTTTGTTCTCCCTTCCAATGTCTGTATTAGTTTCATTATTGGGGAAGGCTTGTAATAATTCAGATTGCTACACTGTACCTAGAATTTAGAGCTGGAGCTGAAAAGCAGAGCCACAAGTAAGGCCCCATTCACACCTGACCGCTTTGTAGCGCGTCCTACGCTCGATGAACGCTCTACAAAACGGTCAAAAAAATAAATAGCATTGTAGTCAATGGTATCGTTCCCACCTGTCCGTATTTCTGCCCGTCCCGAACGCACTACAAAACGGCCCACGCATGAAAAGGTCCCGGAGCGTTTTTGCTGCGTATTGGTCCGTTTTGTAGGGCGTTTTCCATTTGGATACTGCCAAGTAGCCTTTGGAATCGCACGACGGTCGCGCGACTTTTTTACCGCGAATCGCGGTAAAAAAACGCGTGACGGTCGCGCGACAGATGCGCATATTACAATACGCATAGGTGTGAATGGGGCCTAACAGAGTGTGGGTTCTCAAGATAAGTCATTGTGACCAATTAGACTTTACTATGTCAACCTTTCCCTTCACAATCAGTTGGTCTTTAAGTGTACCAAAAAAAAAAACACACTTGGAGCCCTCTTTCCTCTCTTCAGCTTCTGATCGCCTGCCAAGGTTTGTTTACATAGTGCCTGTGGATCAGGGAAAGATGTCAATGATGACTGGTGTGATGTCAGATATAGGTTGAAGAGCAATTTGCAGAATTAGCACTGGGCTTTCAAGGTTCGCTACAGTGCCCCAAAGAGATTTCTAGTCTAGATCTTTTCACACGTGGAAGCAGTGCAGTGAGGCTGCAGTTTTTTTTTTTACCCTCCTTTCTCTTCACATGATAAATGAGAGTACCTCATTTTAGTTTTATCTATATGAATAGCAGTGATCCCCTTGTTTTAAATAAGTAAACTCCCCGTTATCCGGCATCCATTGATTGTGGATAAATGTAGTTTCTGGTTGGTTGAGAAAAAATAGGTTTAACTGATGCTATACCCCATATTATGCCATAACATAAACTCTGTATTGACTTCATATTAATGTTGAAATAAAGTAAGTCAAAAGCAAATTAACTTAATTAAGGCAAAAGTACACACTTTATTATTAGTGCTGCAATACAGGTGCTATGTGCACTGTGGCTGTCTGACATTGGGACTGGAGATCAGTATATTGTAATCTATGAGCAATACAGTGCATTACTGGGAGTGATCACTGGGAGTGATCACTAGGCGGTGCTTGTTTACAGACAATCGTTCACAAGATAATAGAGCACTTTTCACAGACAATCATCAGCCACTCATTCACAAGATAATATAGCACGTTTCTGCCTGCTTCTCTACCTTCCCATGCTGCAGAGCCCCATATCCCTCTCCTAGTAGGTCGCAGATCAGTAGAACAGTTTGCCGGTTAGATGAGAGTCCCGGTTAGTTGAATACCAGATAACAGAAAGTTTACTGTATATTTATTTATTATCTACCATGTTATTTGGAACCTTTGTTTACTCATCTGTAGATAACATGGTCTCCATATTAATTACATACTTATACACAATAAGCATGAGTGGGGGAAGGAGGAGGAGGGAAAAAAAGATGCAGGAAAATGGACGAGGGGAACAGTACAGGAGGAAACATTGAAGAGGGTGGAGAGGGGAAGTACCGGAGAGAACATTGTAAGGGGAAGAGAGGAGCAGTCCAGGAGAGGACACTGGAGGAAGAGGAGAGGGGCAGTACAGGAGAGAGCAATGGAGGAGGAGGCGAGTCATGGTACAGAGAACAGTGGAGGAGGGAGGCAGTAAAAGAGAGAACTTTGGAGGAGAGGGGTAGTACAGGAGAAAACACTGGAGGGGAAGAAGAAGAGGGGAAGTACAGGGGGGAACACTGAGGAGGGATAATGGAGCAGTACAGGCAGCAGGGTAGGAAGGGTAGGAATTTGTATGCAAAGGGACAGTTCAGAACAACACAGTGGCATTACAGCAGCTGTAGAGGAGAGACAATACATTCCAGAAACTGGCAAAAACTGAGTGGAGAGGTATACATTGGCATCTTCACATTGACTGCTGGAGGGCTGGTTCTCTACCTGTTCGACAGTTGATAAAAGCAGCCTGACTGGCATGGAGATAGCTGGTAGGGAGAATTTCTATAAAGACTAATATGAAACTTGTGTGATATATGCAGCAACATACACTGTCTGTCCAACATAAATGTCATAGCCCCTAATATTTCATTGGACAGAGCCATCAGGGAAAACTTGGCCATTCATTAAATTCAGGTAGGGAGCTGACCTTATTTCTGGGCACATAATGTTGCTAAACCTAGACCTATTATCTAATGGAAGGCTCTTATCTATTTGCTTAGCTAAATCCAGGTGGTGGCTTTTTTTTGGGGACAGGCAGTATACATGCAAATGCAACAATGAGAACTGAGAATGCATAGTCATAGTAAATGAATTCCCTTTAAATAAGCTTGCCTGTTTTGTTTGTGACAGCAAATTATGTCCTTTGCTGCGGCTGCTGTATTTCTAGGTTAGAATGTCTATCGTCAAATCAGATTATTATGTTGATAAATCATCTCTAATCTTTTATCTAATTAGACAATGTTGTTTGCCTTTTCAGGATTCCAGATTCAATGCGGAAGTCGACCAAATTACTGGGTACAAAACACAAAGTATTCTTTGTATGCCAATAAAGAACCAAAGAGAAGAGGTAAGCTGTGCAATTTTCCCTTAAATATTCCCACTTCCTGAGTTGAAAGGTTAACAAGGGCAATATTTTTGTAACCGTATATAAAGACTGCCATTCAGCTACGAAAAGACTGTAAAAGTTAGGGAACTGTTAAGCCATGCATTTTTAGAAACCTCCGTTGCTTTTCAATGCCTTTTTAAACAATAAGTAGAAATGAACACAAACCTATTGAACTGCAACCTACAACATGTACCAAGGGAGCAGCTGTCCCTGGGTCTATCAGGTTTGATGGGGCCTGAGCTGCCATTGTTGTTGCTCTGAGGCTTAGAATACGAGGCCTCCGCTTATTATTTCTTTGCTGTTGACTGCATCTCAGTACACAGGAAGATTTGTGAAAGGTAAAGTTACAACAAGGGGACAATTGCAGTGCTGTCATAGTTTGATGATGTCATCATGGAGCACACAATAACACTGTGTGCTTCCTGTGCATAGCCAAGGCAACATATACTCCTGAAGGACTTCATGCCATTTTTGTTTGCTGAGTGATTTGCTGACAAATGGAATATTTTGAATATTCCTTCCTTCTGGAGTGTGGCTATGTTTGTTCCCCATGGTCCCTGTGTATGTTGTAAGGTATCTACCACGCCAAGCTCACTTTCGTGATGAACTACAATCTCATGTTTAGTTTACTAATTTGTATTGAGATTGTAGTCCATCGCAGGAGTGAGCTTGGAGAGGTGGCTACTTTACAACACACACAGGGACCATGGGGAACAAAAGTAGCCACCCTCCAGAAGGAAGGACAGTGTCAGCAAGAATTCAGAGCTTCAGCAGAGTGATACACAAATAAGCTAAATTTTTTGTTAATAGGGTACTTAAATGCATCAATTTTAACATGTAACTCCTGAGTTTAGTGTAACGTCAAAGTAAACCTGTCACAAAGCTAGGCAATTCATACTCAGCATATGATGAAAAACTACTTAGAGGTCACTTTCAATAAAAACTGCATGTCAAACAAATTAACACTCCAGTGTACTCCAATTGGTCTGCTTTTGTATTTAGCCCAGTCAGTCTTATTTGTGTTATGAATAATATGAAAGACTCTGGTGTGTAATCTGAAAATCTCGGCTTATACTCGAGTATATACGGTATGTATTTTTAGCATCCTAATAGCCTAGTTTTGTTTATGTATTTTTAGCATTTTAGCAGTGTAGTTCATCTTCTTTTTGTGCTTTTGCTCTTTGGAAAAGATTATAATATAAACAGTATTGTTTATCTTGAGCATGTTAGAAATAATACAGTTTTTAGTTGTAATGTTTTATTTCCCAACATTCATGCAGCATCTTTAAAAAGCCTTCAGACAGGGTCGAATGTTGATGACTGCAAAAAATTACTCTGTTTGGGGCGGCACAGTGGTTAACACTACACTGCCTTGTAGCCCTAAGATCTGGGATCATAAACCATAAGACAGGGTCGCTGTATGCATGGAGTTTGTATCTCCCTGTATATTTATGGGACTCCTATGGATGCTCTAATTTCCTGTCTTGAAAAATTCCTGGTAGGTTAATGGACATCTGTCTTAACCACTGGACTTGAGTTTTTAGTTCTCCCAACGCTGTTTAAAAAAGCATTGATAGCTAGCGCCTTCTGAGGATCCTGGCAGGGGTTCAGACTGGGACCGACGACTGTCAGTGGCAGCCGACATGCAGCACTACACCCAGCAGCTGAAATTTCAGTTTCTTGACTTCCAATGCTTCTACAGATCACTCCATAGGAGTGCGCTGTAGAAGTGAATGTTAACACTGCTTCTCCATATTGTTTACATACGGAGTTAGTGTGGTCCCAGCGATTCCTATCAGTATGGAGGCTCTAGCAAAGCTTTTGCAGAAGTAAAGTGCATATGGTCACTGAGTTTTGCCAATCCGCTGTGTTATATAAAAATTAAACTAATGTGAAATTTTAATCAGTAGACTATTTTGAGGATATTGTGGGATACATGTATGGGGGTGCGCAAATTATGTAAATGTTGTGTTGGGAAAAAAGTACAGGAAATGCATGTTTTTTACTATTTCTTCCCAATAAAAACCAAATAAATAAAAGCATATGTATCCAAATGCTCTACCAAATTAAAAGCCTATCGTCATAAAAAACCTGATGCATAATGCATAAGGGTAGACTACGGAACCTAAATGATTTATAATGTGCAGAACCAAGACATCGCCAACATGAAAGAATTAGTCTGAGACTCTAGTTTGTCTAGGTATGTACTCGTACAAATTGAATGGAGATATTAGACTGTGAACTCCTCCAGGAAGAATGATCACTGTGAAAGGTCCTATATAATATACTTTGCAAAGCACTGTGCACTACACTGGTGTTACATAAATATGGAAATGAATACTATGTATGTTTTTTATGGCACAGACTTTTTTTGGTTCCTCTGTTGTTGATGCTCTCTCTCTCTCTCAGGGATTCTGGCTCGAGGTCTTTTGGTTTCTGTAATATCATATATATGTATTACCGGTAGTTACAAATGTTGTCTTTTGACAGTGGAACAAGTAACTGATAACACGGTTTTGGAAACACAGCCTTGTTTATATATAATATTTAATTTTACATTTGTTAGCATTTCTTTGTGCAAATTACTACAAGTAACAAAGTGTACCCAAAGCAAAAACATATTTTTTAAATTGTGGGTAGAGTAGGGAATGGTGAAATATCTGTCAGTTTTTTCCGTTTGTGTCGCAAATGGACAACAAGCAGGGAAAATAAATATCTCCAATGTGAAGGAAATCCCCTCTTCTACAGTTGTCACCAGAACAAGTTCCGCCTTTGGAAGATTTCCCCTCTATTCCTGCTCTGGTGGCAATATTGGCTTTTCCCTCACTTTCAGTCCTGGTGATAGTGGTCACTGGAACAAATATACAGAGTGTATCTCCCTAATGGGGACACAGATATCTCTAACAGGGATACCTACCAATCACTACTTTATCCAAGACTAAAATGAAAATTTTGGCTTTAGATATACTTTAAATCCTAGGTTACAACTGGTGGGTTGTGACCCCGTGTTCAGTGGGTCAACGCATGCCTTCTACTTTTCTAGGTGAGAGGCTCCTCAGTCTCCCCCTAGTGCAGCACTGTCAGTTCTCGGGCCAAGCAGCCATTCAAAATATGCTGCCCGGTGCCGAGTGACGACTTGAGGTGGGGTGGGGCCATGGCTGCAAGGAAGCTTCATCCATTTGTGCATTGGTTACAGCTCCCTTGTGCACCCTGTAGAGGTGCCTGGACCGGAGTGATGTCACATTCTGGCTCCCGGCACCTCTACAGGGTGCGCAAACAGAGCTGTACAAGCAATGCACATATGGATGGAGCTCCGTCACAGCACAGCAGTCCACACTGGACCCCAGGCTGAGGATCCACTCCAATTCTCGTAAGGTAGGGAGACTGGGTGGATCTTCAAAAAGAAAAAAGAAATAATCTTTTTTTTGGAATGTGTGTGTGTGAGAATGTCTGTGAGTGTGTGAGATTGTGTTTGTCAGTGTTTTTGAGGGCCCTACACACTAGTACAGTGCGTTAATCGCATAGTCCTGTGCTATTAACGCACTGTACCACGCAATCGCACCTACCACGCATTCTGATGCGGGAGGTGTGCTGCCATTCATTTGAATGACACCCCAAACGTGCCTCCCACCCACAGTTTGATTGCCCGCATCGGAACACTCTGTACCGCAATGCTGTACGTTCCATTGCAGTGCAACTTAATGGCCAAGCGCACATGTGAGTCCTGAGGTTACACAGGTTGAGAACCACTGCTTTAAGTTATGCATTTTAATGTAACCCTGTCATGTAAAGATAAGCATAGATCAGCAGACATTTATTTAACAGCCAAAGCTTTCTTACTGTCACTCTAACATAGAGTGCAGTTACATAAAATGTTAGTGTTCCAGAGCATGTCCACATCTACTGGCATGCACCGGTAATATTGAGGCCAGCACTTGGCTTGACAGGGTTTTTATAGGGGTTTTCTGCTAACTTACTGCGACTTCCAACACCCATCCATTGTGAAAGTTTCCCGGTGGCATTTAACGATGGAGCACATTTTACCAGAACATTGAATAAACAGCCATTGTGTTAATAGTATGCTATATTGAGCTGCCACTTTATGGCTCAGGCAACTCTAGTTCTTTAAATTGGGTTTATATCCCTGCAATTTGGAGAGCAATTTCAGGCAATAGGTAAACCAATCAGTGAGCTACTACTGTCATGTAGCAAACATTGAAGACAGAGAGTTTATTCATTTTACCTTTGAGTTCTTAGTAATGCTGTAAAGCCAAACCCAGTTCCATATATTTTTTGTGGAATAGAACTTGCTAAAGCTGGTGTTGTGCAATATGCTTGCAATTGCAAGAAATCAGTGCAACAAAGGGGGTTGGGGGGGAAGACAACAGGGGTTCCTACTGTACAGCAGACACTGTTCTTCTGTTGTGAAGTCTTCAGTACTTTTCATACCATAATTTTATTGTCTTCTATATGCTAACCAAAAGTAACATCCCTGCAAATCCTGAAAAACCTAATATTGGGTACTACAAACAGGCCCTACTCCCAGTACAACATCTCCCAAAGTGCTATGCCTACACATGCTGTCTGACAGAACTTAATGATTTGCAGTGTACCATATGGTCTCCAAGGATGGCGTAAGCAGGAAACATTCTTACTTTAGTGGGACACACGCTAGAGAACTAAACCTTGCTGCAAATATGGCTGCTGTAAACAAGTATCACAAATGTAACATGAACATCAAGTGGCACCAGATCATACTGCTGCACTTCCAACAATGCAAAAATGAACGATAATAAAGGCAAGGACTATGCTCAAGACTTGTGTGCGATCCACTTCTCCCACCTCAGGTACAGGTTCTATTGCGGCTTGTTCCACACTCACATTGCATCAAAGAAAATGACAGCCATACTCTGAGATACAATGCCAGAGTGAACTTTATTGTACGCAGCAGATTTCATTTC